AAACTAATGAGAAAGTAGAGCAATTACAAAACATAACAAAAAAAAAAAAAAAAAAAAAAAAAAAAAAAAACAAAGAAATAAGTAAAAATAAATCCCTGCCCCCGTTAGATCGTACTAATATATAAATGGGCTCGAGAGAAACGAAAACTCCTTTTGAGAAAAACCAACAAAATTCGATATATATATAAAGAGTCTTTAAATATGTATCCTATGTCCCTGGCCGAAATCAAAATCAACTTTTACATCCTTTCTTTTTTATTCCATGTTCGTACATCACAAGCTGCTTTTTGCTGTTATTTTCGTTTTTACTTTGTATTCTCTTTGAGTTGTATAACATATACATGTGTGTGTGTATATAGACATATATGATTACATATATAACACATATATGATACATACATATGTGATGATGTATTTGATGTATGTATGTTGATTAGACCCATATAGACATATGTAGTTGTTGTAGTGATATATAGTTGTTCGCATATACTCGTACATACATTAGCAATGTGTCCTAGATACGCGTGTCTCAGCAAACAACAAATAAGCAAATAAACAATATATAGTGCAATAAGCAACACACAACACAACACAACACAACACAACACACAAAATATACATAAAACAATGAAATACAATATCAACAATAGACTTATCAGACATTACTAAGTAAGCTTCACATGAATAATGTTTAGTGTCTATATACATCGACTCTGTGGCACGTGGCTAAGGCCGTTAACACTCTTCAGGCATCCAGGTTTAGTTCGAGCTATTCACCTGTTCAATTCCATAGCGATTGTAGGTCAATTTACTTACAGTGAATACCCCTAATAGAAGCGCAAGCAGAGTCTGAGAATGTTTTTAGTTGATTTCGCTTAACACGTAATCCCCAAATAGACAATATATATATATATGAATGAGTAATACATAAATATTAATTAATTAATTAGCCCATTGGTCAAGCTACAGACAGACGATATATATATATTCTTTAAGCATTGTTTCTTCAGCTCTTCACACATTACCAAGCAATAGGAATTTCTCTCTCTATCTCTATTTA